CCAACCCCACCATGGAGAATGGCAGACCTGCAGGATGCATACAAGTGATCTCGGAGACACCACTGAGATCTCTTTTACAAAACAAGTGGCGGCTTCCCCGCTGTACATCTAGCTCTGCTTGCCCAAAGCAGGGCTAAATGTAGAAAACAATTGCCCGGCACTGCATGTCCCGGGCATCAGGGGATAGGAATTCCACACCCCTGCTGCCCCTCTACTCCCTGCTGCCCCGAGGCCGTGCCTTGGTTGGCCTTGTGGCAAATCCGGCCCTGCTTGCAGCGCTGCGTAGGTGCAATGCACAGACTCTTGCAGTGTGTCCCCAGCCTCAGGTCTGTGGCTGAACTACAGAGTGGGTAGAGGGAGTAGGGATCCCTGGCATGTGCCATGTATAGTTCCACTGCTGTGGTGAGGATTTCCATTGAGTGTTCCAAGACCTTGATGATGCGACTGTTGGAGCCAAGCAAGGCGTTCTGTGATTGGAGATGTGGATGAATGTTTCAATCCCCCCTCCAATCACAAAACGCCTTGCATGCTGTGAAGATATTAGGCTTTTTCTGAATGAAGGATGGGGTACAGCGTGTGATCTATTGTAATCAGTATACTTCAGCTGGAGTGTGAGATCTCAGTGCCAGACTTTCAGCGCCAACGGGAGACAGGGGGGTTCAATGAAAGTAGACTTGACAAATGCTGCAGCGCCCAACGATGTGCCACCCTTCATCAGTGGCTCTTTATTTTTACTGTGCAAATATACAAAAATAGTTCTGGCCGGCGTTCAGCCGTATTGCTATATACGTGTGTATTGTACGCTGCTTATGTCACAATTTGTTACGTATTTTTCACCAGTTATCACAGCTCAAACAAAGTCTCTCCAGTTTGCAAGCGGAAGTCCAGTCTGCTCTTCAGAGAGCCGCAACTGCTACAAGTAATGAACAGAAAGCCAGACAGGACTGTCAAGAGCAAGTGAGTTTTGAAACCTTAAGATTTGTACATTTTGTTGGAGGGACCCAGTTTTATATATAGATAGATATAGATATATAGATGCTCCTCGCTTAACGACTTACCTGTTTTGCGACCACTCGCACTTACGACCGAGCAACCTCCGACCTTGTGCGTCAGCGTGACGTCCTCCGATCTTCACTGCGGGTCCCGGTGAGCATTTTCATTGCCCGATGTACAGTACACTGTTCGGTACTGTACATCTGCAACACTATACAGTACTGTACTAATGCAGTACAGTATAGAGTTCCTCACTTAACGACCAATCCTGGTCGTAGGAACGGAACTCGGTCGTTAAGTGAGGAATACATATATATATATTTCTAGCTGAATGTACAATGGGAGCCGCTGCTCATTTAATACGAGTGATCTAATTAGATCACTTGTATTAAATGCGGCGGCGATCGTGTCCGCCCCCCCTCCCTGCCGCCGTGGTTTTCGGGGTCCCTCACCATAGAGCCCCTTGAGCAGACGAACGTCATTCGTCGTCTGCTCTGTGTGATTACCGAGACCGTGGACTCCTGTCTCAGCCGTCACTAACTGCAGCTTCTGTCACAGAATGCCTGCGTCCTATCGTCCGGAGCGTCTTATAGACCGCAAAATTGTGTGTGTGTGTATAATTTTGTGTTCGGAGTCTGCTTAACCTGGATACGAAATAAATATTGAGTAACATACTGACCTGAGGTGTGCCATGGTCCGGATGGACAGTAATGCCAACGAGGGGGCATACTCTGAGTATAAGGGTGGTGAGGGTCATGCTGAAAGCCTCGCGTCCCAGGTGAGCCTGCTTGCTCGGCATAAAAGCGCTACGGAGGAACAGGCTCCTCCCACAAATCCAGGCTAACACGTCAGCCTTCAAACATATATCTCTCTATCAAAGAAAAAGGAAACCTCCTGATATTGTAAAGCAATGGGCAATGTGTATGCTGTGCACATTCTGTTTTGAATGTTTATACTTTGTGATCCATCGACGTTCTTAAGAACACCTTTTGAATGCATCCATGACTTGCAACACCATACTTTTTTACAGGACCACACCTCAATATTTGTAACCTGTTTGATCTTCATGCAGTGTAAAAATCACAAACAGTGCTGGGAAGACAGAGTTGGGTAACATGGAAGGTCTATGTGCCAGTTAACAACACTGTTCAGGGCGCATGAGTGTTGATTGGAGTAATGTGCCAGATTCTGCCAGCACAGGACCGCTTCCTAGCCCTCGTTCACACCTGAACGTTTTGTAGCGCGTTCTACGCTCGACGAACGCTCTACAAAACGCTCAAAAATATAAATCCCATTGTTTTAAATGGTCTCGTTCCCACCTTGGCGTATTCCCGCCCGTCCCTAACGCGCTACAAAACGGCCCACGCCTGAAAAGGTACAGGTACTACTTTGGGCCGTTTTGTTGCGCGTTTCCATTGGGATACAGCCAAGTAGCGGAAACGCGTGTCAGTCGCGCGACTTTTGTTACAGTGAATCGCAGTAAAAAAAAACACGCGACAGACGCGCATATGCAATACGCCTAGGTGGGAACGAGACCTTACTGTTGTAATCAAATACATAACAAGAATATGACTTATTTTTATGCAAGTCTGACTACAGAACCAGTCTGAGACTTCAGTTGGGACTTCTACCTTCTGTGTCTTCAATCAACAGTCTATTAGACACTGTACTTTACATGCTTTATGAGGGTAGCTTGGTTACTTACATACAGTATGTTGATCTTCATGTATGTTTTGATTATAGCAGAGCCCTGTATAGCGTGCTGTAATCTTTTCACCAAAATATTTATTAGACCATAATTTAATATTTTTATTTTTACAAATGTCTGCTGGTAATCCATTCCATAGAACAGAGTCCATCATATCAAACTTTAAAGTTTCCCGTTTTCAATTAGTATCCATGCGAGGACTCCAGCCTTGGTACGGTTTGTAGTCCAGTGGTGCCCCTTACCACATTTTATATTGGCTTTCTACATTCATAATAGGTTGGACACTGTAGACCACTTGTTGCTTGATGAAGGTAATGAAGGGTTAGGATGACAAGAGTTTTCTTAAAGGAGAACTACGAGGTCAGGGCTTTTCCCCATAGTTCTCCTAAGGGTCACGGGAGGACACAAACTAGCGTCCTCCCGTCACCTAAAGCTCAGTATATAGTGGGCTACAGCTCACGGTATACTGAGACGCCGGAGCGGATCCCGACATGGATGTTGAGATCCGCCCAGCTGCGTGAGTGACAGCTGGCTCTGCCAATCTAGACTCAGAGCCAGCTGTACCCGCCCCCTCCCCCCTCCCGCCAGTCAGCGCTCGAGGATCGGAGAGGGGAGGAATCCCTGCAGGGAGCCGTGAGTAACAGTCACAGCTCTCTGCAGGGATAGATCGAGAAGTGAGCGAGCGACTGTATGTGTTCGCTCACTTCCCGATCTATTGAGCCGACCTGTGACAGTTTCATTGTCGCATGTCGGCTAGAACTAAGGAGTGATTTTCACTCACCTCATAGTTCTCCTTTTAAACTCTGTACTGCAATCTGTCCAGTTACAGCAGAGCCTCGCTGTTTATATTGAGCTAGCTTTATCTGTACTTTCCCTGCTGTCTACCCCTGCAGTGTCACACCAGACCCCCCCCAGATCTAGACATTCACTACATGACATACACCCAGTGGCGTAACAATGACCATAGCGGCCTGCTGGTGGCTTTCACTGGCGGCTGAAGACTTAACACGCCGCTGTTCAGATCATCTGTGCAGCAGCGCGTTCGTCTTCACAGAGTCAATGCAAGCCAGCAGCGGCGGTTGAGCAGGCTGGACCCGGTGTTCTGTCGGCACTTAGAACTCATCGGCCTCGCGAACCTCTGACGTCATCGGCAGCGTAGGAGGAGGTGGGGCCCGTGCTCGGCAGCAGTGGAGCAGGCGGGCCCGGCGACTAAGGAGGCGGGGCCCATCAGCAACCGTGGAGGAAGAGGAGGCGGACAGGTAATCTGCAAGGGGTATAACTAGAAATCAGGGGGCCTGTGATTTCTAGTTACGCCGCAGCGTACACCTAATCAGTGCCTGCTGAGATGAGCTGCCTGATTTCAACAGGTCCCACATAAATGGGTTGTTTGCAGAAAATGTGCACCAGGAGTGCTGATCCTACCTGTTTCTGGGAAGGGAAGGGGTGGCTTTTTGTACTGAAAGCCATTTCATTATTCATAGATGTTGGCTGCCTTAATAATCATGGCTACATTGCTCTGAATGTGATCGCACTTTGTATGTGTTTTTAAAGGCAAAGATAGCTGCGGAGTCACAAAACAAGTACGAGCGTGAACTAATGCTCCACGCAGCTGATGTTGAAGCTCTTCAGGCTGCCAAGGAACAGCTAACCACTGTCGCTGCCACACGTCAGAAGTCGGAGGAGGCCGCCCAGAAAGCGCAGTCCCAGTTGCTGGAGAACAAAGCTTCCTGGGAAGTTCGGGAGCGCATACTCAAGGTAATGGACTTTAAAATATAACGCAATGAAGTTCCTTTTTTTTTTTTTACACTGCCGCTTCCTTAGATGAATCTAGCTCGCTGCATCCAGTATTTCATACTTGTCTACCATCATTTTATAGGATGAGACGTCCAAGAACCAGTCCCGCTGCGAGGACTTGGAGAAACAGAATAGACTACTACATGAACAGATTGAGACCCTCAGTAAGAAGATGGTGACCTCTGTTCAAGAGGGAGCTCTCAACATGTCTTTCAGTGAAGAAGGGAAGTCTCAGGATCAAGTGATGGAGATTCTCAGGTATCCAAATGGCTGAGGCTGATGTGTAATGGGATTTTTCAAGGTCTGCTTGTATAACATTGCATGTGTTGGTTACGGCTCTAGATATCCTTTCATGGTCAATCAACCAAGGTAAGAGCCCCCAGAGGCTTTCAATATTAACACTTCACTTGGATATTGAACAATAAGGACAGTTCAAGAGCTGCTGTGGCTTAACCCCTTCATGACTGAGGCCCTTTTTTCATTTTTTTGCACCCATGTTATATTCCACATTTTAGGCCTGAAAATGACTTAAAACCCCCCAACATGATATATTTTCTGAATGCCAAGACCCTATAGAATAAAATGGTGGTAGTTGCAAATTTTTATGTTGCGCAATATTAGCGCAACTCCTTATTAAACCCCAAACATTTAGTGAAAAATTTAATTTAATGCCCCAAAACACAACAAAATACCAATTTTTTAAATGACATATAAAAGATGAGGTTACAACGAGTAAAACGATACCCAACATGCATAGGTTACAAATTGCGTGCGTCCGTGAAACGGCGAAAAACTGCAGTACCCCAAAAAGTCAATAGAAGACGCTTTAAAAGCCCCCACAGGTCATCAATTTAGAGATGCCCCAAAATACTGGCCCTAGAATTATTGACACTAGGGAGCTACAGCTCGCAGTATACTGAGACGCCGGAGCGGATCCCGACATCGATGTCGAGATCCGCCCAGCTGCGTGAGTGACAGCTGGCTCTGCCTATCTAGAGGCAGAGCCAGCTGTACCCGCCCCCTCCCCCGTCCGTTCTGCCAGTCAGCGCTGGCGGATCGGAGCGGGGGGGGAATCAAGCCCCTCCCCTGTCACTGCAGGGAGCCGTGACAGGATCGAGAGGTGAGCGAACGCCGGTATGTGTTCGCTCACCTCCCGATCTACTGAGCCGACCTGTGACAGTCTCATTGTCACAGGTCGGCTAGAACTATGAGGTGAGTGACAAGCACCCCTCCCCCCCTCATAGTTCTCCTTTTTAAATCTGAACTTCAGATTGATATCAAAGACACAAATTAATTGAAGTTCTGTATTCATGAATACATCCTCACTGGCAGGTATTGATTAAAGTGGGACTAAAGGCTCATGTAATAATGGAAACCAGGTACGGAGAGAATCGTCAAGTGTAGTTTTCCAAGAAAAAGGAATAAAACCTGCTTTTGGTTGGCTCTTGGGTGTTGCGCTGTGCATTGGGCCCTCAGCTAAGTTTCACAGCCTCTGGAGGCATGTGCCCATTCACAGCTCCTTTTGAGTCTCCCTTTGGGATTACCTTGTGTTTGCTTCTGTGCACATTTACACTGCTTGTCTATGGAACATGGGAGTAAAAGAGGGGGAAGGGGAGTGAAGGAAGAATAAGGGAGCAGCGAAGCGTTTCTTGTCAGTCTCTTAAAGTGTATGCTGAATTTGGTGTGGGGCTGCATTTAAGGCTCCCTTGTATTGGTCTACTGTTTCAAAGCTGGTGCCAGTGTCTCCTTAAAGTGATATTAAACCCTCAGATTTTTTTAACATAAAACAATACTGTAATGTGCTCCTTACTGTAATCCATGGTAGTTTTCCCTTCTCTTTGCTGCTCTTCCTTTTTAAATCCTTATCTGTTCTCATGCTGGGGGAGAACTTCCCTTTGCAGCTGAGTGCCTCTTCCTGTAGTGCTGGCTCAGGTTGTGAACCTACACACAGACACCGTGTATCCATTCCAGAGACAAGGCAGTCTGCTGCAAAACAGAAGTTCTCCCCCCCCAGCATGAGGATAGAGAAGGATTTAAAAGGAAGAGCAGCAAAGAGAAGGGAAACTACCATGGATTACAGTAAGGCGGATCGGAGCGGGGAGGGGGGAATCCAGCCGTGACAGAATCGAGAGGTGAGCGAACGCCGGTATGTGTTCTCTCACCTCCCGATCTACTGAGCCGACCTGTGACAGTCTCATTGTCACAGGTTGGCTAGCCCCCCTCATAGTTCTCCTTTAACCTCCCTGGCGGTATTCCTGAGTGTGGCTCGGGGTTTAATTTTCTGTACCGTAAGCGGTGACCCCCGAGCCACACTCAGGAATACAGCGTAGCGTCTCTTACCCTGTCCGAGATCTCCGCTGTGTCCTCCGGCCGATTCCAGGTTCCGTCCCTTGCGAGCGTACGCGTCGCAGGGGGGCGGAAACCAGCGGGAAGTTTAAAAGTAAAAAAAAAAAATTAAAAACAGAGCAAAAAAGGAAAAAAATAATAATAATCACACCGCCAGGGAGGTTAACCCCTTCGTGACTGACGACGTACAGTGTACGTCTCCAGCTGTCGCCAGATCGCTTCTGCGTCCCGAAGAAGGGGCCGCCCATCCCCGCCGTGCTTCCCGGGCTCCGTTGCCCCTCCTACGGGCCCGGGACCGGCGATCTTTGTGTCCGCGGGGAGCTGGGGAGGAGGTCGAAGTTTTACGGATGCACGCAATTTGTAACCTGGGCAAGTTGGGTATCGTTTTACTCGTTGTAACCTCATCTTTTATATTTCATTAAAAAAAATGGGTATTTTGTTGTGTTTTGCGGCATTTAATTAAATTTTTCACTAAATATTGGGGTTTAATAAGGAGTTGCGTTAATATTGCGCAACATAAAAATTTGGACCTACCACCATTTTATTCTATAGGGTCTCGGCATTCAGAAAATATATCATGTTGGGGGGTTTTAAGTCATTTTCAGGCCTAAAATGTGGAATATAACATGGGTGCAAAAAATGAAAAAAAGGCCTCAGTCATGAAGGGGTTAAAGAAGCAATGACACACCAAAAGCCCGGCCTCAATGGCGGGGGTGGGCGGCCCCTTCTTCGGGACGCAGAAGCGATCTGGCGACAGCTGGAGACGTACACTGTACGTCGTTAGTCACGAAGGGGTTAACCTCCCTGGCGGTGTGATTATTATTATTTTTTTTCCTTTTTTTGCTCTTTTTAATTTTTTTTTTTTACTTTTAAACTTCCCGCCGGTTTCCGCCCCCCTGCGACGCGTACGCTCGCAAGGGGCGGAACCTGGAATCGGCCGGAGGACACAGCGGAGATCTCGGACAGGGTAAGAGACGCTACGCTGTATTCCTGAAATGTGTTTCTGCACCCAAAGCAAAAATTACCGCGGCTCAAATCAAGTTATAACCCTAACCCTAGTGTAAGGGGTTAATTTGAAGACCACTCGGAACCGGACACACCATAGAAATCCTTATACAGAGCTCCGGGAAGCAATCGGACAGACACAGTTTGTAAGTCTAATCATGTTCGAGTTTATTATGGAAAAGGCGCAGTTTATATACACAGTCAGTCACGTACACAGTATGGAAAAAGGGAAATGCTCACACTGCTGACACGTACGCAGAATCTAAATGTGTTATATTGTTCATATAAGAATATTACTTGCATAGACTGTTTCAACATATAGCTGACATAGTGACATAACACACATAAAAGGCAACTCTAGACCTAACACCTAGCAAAAGAAAGGTAAGTATGGGCAGATTCGTTGGCTACAAATTGGTCAGAAATCTGTTTTTAGGGTGCCCTGGAAGGGCAGATTTTAGAAGCAACTATTGATCTGCCGTTCCTTTCTGCGTGTATTCGCGCAGCGAGGTGTTTCATTCCACCATTGAGAGGTCAGTTTAATTAACCGCTTGAAGTCCGCGGTGTTACACCCCCTTCCTTGGCCAGGCCATTGTTCAGTATTCAGCGCTGCGGTACTTTGACTGACGTTTATTCCGTCATGCAACGCTGTACTGAAATGAATTTTATACCCTTTTTGTGGGGACAGATAGAGCTTTATTTTGGTGGTATTTAATCACCACTGGGGGCTTTTATTTTTTACTATATTCAGGAGAAATGACTGAAAATTATTATTTATTTTTTTTTTACATTGTTATAACGCAACTAATATTACCCACTTTTTTTGGTAAAATATAAAAAGACGGGGTCACGTCGGGTAAATAGACACCAAACATGTCAAGCTCAAAAATTGCGCAAAATCGCAAAAAAAACTAGCATACCCAAAATTGGCCATAGGCGACACTTTAAAAGCTTTTACCGCTCATCAGTTTAGTGTTATCAGTGATTGATGGCCCTAGAACCATTGCTCTCACTGCGACGTTCGCGGCGATATGTAACATGTGCGGCGTAATGGGCGCCATCGTCGTTTTCGCAGGTATGCGCACCTGACGCATGTTTACATGCGTGTATGTAGGGGTGGGGACTTTAAAAAAAAAAAAATAGTTTTTTTAATTCTTTGTGTAACTTTAAAGAATTTGGGGAAACTTTAAAAATGTGTTCCTTTTTTTTTTCCCCTCCTCTTAGTTGTCAAAAAAAAGTTATCACAGAGGTGGCTAAGAAACCCCTCTATGTAATAGCAAAAGAAGTGACAGGTCCTCTTTATGGAGACATCAGGGGTCTCCAGGACCCCTAATGTCACCTAGGACCCCCCTGAAGAAGCTGATGAAGCACAGATCTGCTTCATCGGCTTCTCTCCGGCATCTGAAGCTGGAGAGTGACACGAGAATGCGGAAGTGATGTAATGTACACCACTTCCGCATTCTGACAGCGGAGAGGGGACCGGAGGGAGTTTGTGTACCGACCTCCCTCTGATCCCCGTTACAGAGGCAGTATGCTGGTCCCGGGCTCGCACCGTGCACACGGAGCCCGGGATCAGCGGGAGGGG